TTCATAATTCAAGGAAAAATAAAGGGTAGGAGAAGCTTAGGAAGAAGACGCGTTTCCTGGTTGAAAAACCTGAGAGAGTGGTTTGGTTGCAGCTCAATGCAATTGTTTAAAGCAGCTGCCTCGAAGGTCAGAATAGTTATGATGATTGCCAACCTTCGTCACGGAGATGGCACTTAAAGAAGAAGACGTTTGGACTTCCACTTTGGAAATCGTTATCAAAATATTTCGTAGTTGAAGTCAAAACGTCAAATAAATTTAATTTCTAACTAATATTCAGGTTTATTTCCAATTAAAATAGTAAATTTGCATAAGATGCCACAATAAAATACCCTCAGAACAATATAAAGAAACAGTTACTTCTAATTTCAGTACAACTATGATTTAATTTTCGTTGTTTGTTGATAATTCTTCTGTAGCCAATCCGAGTGTTGGAAATTGTACCTGTGTGGTAGTGTCCGAAATAGATCTATAGAAAAAAAAATTGCCCTAATAAAAAGTAAATGAAGATTCGTGCATTTTAAGAGGGATAATTTTCGTGCAATTGCAAGTTTATTTTCAATAGTAATATCACTAGTGATTCAATTTTCGCGATTAGTCTGTCGATTTACTTCTAAACGAAACTGAGTTGCTTGAAAACACTTAGTTAAGTTAAGTTAAGTTAAGTGATAAGTCAAAAATTCAGTAGAATGAGAGAAAGGAATTTAATAATAATACATTTGATCTAGGTAATCACTAATCTAGGTAATTTGCAGTAGTGTTCCATATGGTTTTAATAACACTCTCCTTGTAATAACTACCCTCAATTTTTCGCATGTAGAAGTCCCAGTCTTTTAGAATGAATGCTAGTGTTTCGTTATTATTTTCTGCATCTAATTTGTAGTTGCGATCCACACAGAACATCATAAATTGTCTTCATATATAAGATTTAGATTTTCTTGTGTTACTCGGTACATTTTCTTTAATGTTTTGATTTATAATTTCGTTTGAAGTACCAGTGAAATGACTCATTTTCACGTATACAGCTACAATAATTTTTTTGGCAAACGTCAAACTTTGCTTTGCGATCGATATCCATGGTTACGTCGTTGAAAACACGAAGCTGGTAGACCAATCAGAATTGAAAGACAGTTGGTGTTTTCGCGATAACACAAGCTGTCTTTAGTTTGTGGTTGGTCAGATTATGTGAAAATTTTAAGATGAGTAAAATAGTCTATTAAATATTTGCGAACTAGGGACCTTTGCATGAAGTAATTTATAGAAATCTCATACGTAACAGGTGCCGAAGGTCAACCGACTGAAGAAATTTTAGATCTGACTTTCAATTTCACCATTCACGCTCCCACTTCGTCGCCAGTCGGAAGTCGGACCTTCAAGTCGTTCCTCTAGATGTTCCCACTCGTACCGCTAGTTGTCCAACTAATCCAACCAACCCACTCACGGTCCGATTTCATCTAACTGCACAACTTATGTTTAGAGTAACATTTAGGGTAAATTTCAGTCTTTACTGTTATTAATTTTAATATATTTTTAAAATATACAAAAAGTCAATAGTTTAAAACTTACGTGAAATATGGACGCACAGATAACACTAATTTTACTAATTTTTAAAAATTGATTGTAGACTTATCGTATTTGGTATGTAAACGGTAGTATTTTAAAAAGTTGTAAGTAACTTCAAGAATCAACTAAATTCATAAATATTTAACAATATTAATTTGATTGCTGAGGTAAAGAAAAAATTAAAACAGCTGGTGTGTTAACGTACCAATGGTAAAAGATAGGTTAAATTAAATATGTTTTCTGCATAGGAAAAAATACAGCAAGCGTTGGAGAAACTTTTGGGATGCGTGATGAAAAAAGTCTGCCTATAGATGAAATACTCACACGATACGTTGAAAAAAAAAAAGAAACGTTTTATTCTAACACAAATTCCTGTTTACAAAAATGTCTAAAACCTACTTGTTGACGATGACACTTGTGCCACTGACAGGTGGTGCCACCATTTAACATTCTTCTTCTTCTAGTTCCATGACCGTTATCGATCGTTGGATATCATGTTGGCTACCATATTCGCTATCGTGATTATATTGACAGCAGCTCTAAATAACGATGTAGTTGATTTTCCATACCATTGCCTTAGATTTTTCAGCCATGATGTTCTTCTTCTACCAGGACCACGATTACCTTGGATCTCGATTTTGTTTGCTAACTATCATATATTTAGTTTTCTTAACGTTGAGTTTTAATCCATACTGATCACAAGTCTGTTTTATTTTGTTCATTAGATTTTGAAGGTCTTCTCCGCAATTGGCAAGGACTAAGGTATCGTCGGCATATCTAATATTGTTGACGGTTACTCCATTCACAATAATACCTTCGGTTGTCTCCATTAAGGCTTCCTTAAATATTTCCTCCGAATATAAGTTAAAAGTAAAGGCGACAATATACAGCCTTGTCTCACTCCTCTTTTTATATTTATTTCATCCGACAGTTCTTGTTCAACCTTTATTCTTGCCACTTGATGCCAGTATAGATTTGTAATTATTCGTAGATCTTTATCGTCCAATCCAGCTGTTTCCAATATTTCTAGCATTTTGTTATGTCGGACTTTGTCAAAACAAAGCGTCCTCTAACAGCGTGTAAATTCTGCTGTGTATTACTCGCACAAAGATTTTCAAAACGTGACTCATCAGACTTATTGTCCGATAATCACCGCATGTCTTTGGACGATGTCTCTTAGGTATTGTGACAAATGTCGACTTTAACCAATCAGTTGGTAATATTCCAGTGTCATAAATTCTGTTAAAGAGCTTACACAGAGCTTTAATTCCATTTTCTCCCAAAAACTTTAGTATTTCAGCACTTACTTCATTGGGGCCAAGTGCTTTTCCATTTTTTGCCGTTTGTATTGAACGTCTTACTTCACTCTCTGTTATAGATGGACCTGATATAGCAATCGGTGTATAGTATTCTACTCTCTCATCTTCAAATAATTCAGAAATGTAGTTTTCCCATTTTTTTAACTTTTCATTGCTGTCTAATATTCTGTGTCCGTTTCTATCTTCTAAACTTTGGGATACTTGTTTCCATTTGTTTCCAGCGACCTCTTTCAATTTCTTGTGCAGATGAAATGTATCGTGTTTCTTTTCATATTGTTGAATTTCATTACATTTTTTACTATGAAATTGTGTTTTCGCGTGTCTCATCTTCCGCCTGATTATTGCGTGGATCCTCTTGTATTCGTTTTTATCTTTATTTCTGACTTCTCTTCTTTTATCCATAAGTCTCAGTATTTCTTCTGTCATCCACCCTTGTTTTTTTCTTGCTTTTAGCGCACTCAATTTTGTTTCTTGAACAGTCTTTAAGATGTCTTTAATTCTCGTCCAGTTTTCCTCAGTACTTTCTTCTTTGCTTGATTTTAACTTCATCTTTTGTTCTAATATACTAGTTATTTCTTGTTTTACAGTATCATTTAGCATCGTTTCTCTATCAATAGTAACTGTTTGCTTATTCGTCCTTGCAACTCTTTTTAATCTCAGTCTTATTTTTCCTACTAAAATATTGTGATCTGTTTGTACATCTGCCCCTGGATATGTTTTTACTGATAATACTGAATTTCTGTATTTCTTATTTATACATATGAAGTCTATTTGGTTACTTTGGTTACAAAAAACTCGTTCAGGTGTATTTGCTGGTGATTTCCAGGTGTAAAGACGACGTTTTGGAAGTTTGAAAATTGTGTTCATTTTTACTAATTGCTTTTTTACGCAAAAAGATGCCAACATATCTCCTCTTTCATTTAGTATTCCCAGACCATATTTCCCTATGACATCTTCCTCTTCACCTTCACCAATCTTTGCATTAAACCTCCCATGACAATATTGAGATCGTGTTTCTTTGTAGGTGCTAATACTTTTTCTAAATCATGATATTATTTTTCAATTTCTTCTTGTTCGTAGTCTTGTGTGGGTGCATATACTTGTAATATGTTCACATTGATTGTTGTTGATTGTATTTGTATCATCAGTATCCTGTCTGAGAATAGGACGACGTTTTTTACAGCTTCATCTGTTTCCTTCGACACAATTATTGCTATACCATTTTTGTGTTTTGAGCTATCTTCTTCTAAATAGTATACAATGTGGTCATCTACAGTTACTTTTCCAGACCCCGGCCATCTCATTTCACTTATTCCAAGGATACTTATATTTAGACGCTTCATTTCTTTAATGGTGTTATGAATTTTTCCTGATTCGTACATGCTTCTTACATTCCATGTACCTATTTTTCTTTCTTTAGAAAATGTGTTCATGTTTCTAGCTGACCGGGAGATTCTTAGCACCCCTGCTCCATTTAAGGAGCGCCCGTACTCGGGGCCGTTGTATATATCAGCCATTTCCATGATTGTTTCTTGGGAAAATTAGGCTCTAGGTGGTTTCCCGTTGCCTTCCTAGAGTGTGTAACATTACAATGTAACATAACTTAACATTACAATGTACAATACAGAATTGAAATACCAACAGAAACCACGAGCAATAAGATTAAGATACATAAGAGGATGGTGAAGATATTCTTCTTCTTCGAGTACTTCTCTTATCGGAGATTGGATATTATTATGGCCATTCTAATTTTATTTACTGCTTTTTTGAATAATTCGTTAGTGGTACAGACACTCTCTTAAATTTCTCAACCAGAACATTCTTCTACGGCCTGGATTTTTGCGTCCTTGGATTTTTCCTTGCATTAAATTTTGTAAGAATGTGTACTTTTGTCATCTCATCAGGTGGCCTAAGTATTCAAGTTTTTTTTTATATTCATGGTAACTTCTGGATTGTTATTTATTCTACGTATTACCTCTTCATTTGTAATTTTATTGATCCAACTTATTTTTAGTATACGGCGGTAGCACCACATCTCAAAGCTTTCAAGATTTTTAATATTCCTCTGTTTAAGTGTCCATGCTTTAAGACCGCAAAGCAAAATACGGAATACATAGCATTTTAACATTCTAATTCGTAGATAAATACTAATATTACGATTACAAAATAATTTTTTCATTTTTATAAAGGTAGGTATAAAATAATTTTTTCATTTTTATCAAGGCAATTTCAATATGTCTTTTCATCTCGTGATGTTGGTCACCTGTTTCATTGATATGGGTTCTCAAGTATTTGTATTTGCTTACTTTTTCAAGTTGGGTACCGTTTATTGCGATACTAGTGGCATGTATTGGATTCTTACTGAAGGTCATATATTTGGTGTTTTTGACGTTCATCCTTATGTCGTAGTTATTACATATCACATTCATACCTTCAACTAGATTTTGTAGATCTTCCGCTGTTCTTGCCATTATCACAGTATCGTCAGCATATCGAATGTTATTGATAACTTCTCCATTGACTATTATCCCTTCGTTTGCATATGAGAGAGCTTCTTGGCATTGGTTCGCTATAGATATTAAACCAGAGGGGTGACAATATACAACCCTATCGTACTCTACGTATTTCTATTTCGTCCGATGTTTGGTCTTCTATTTTTATATTAGCTCGCTGATTCCATTACAGATTTAATATTATTTGTATGTCTTTGGTGTCGATGTTCTTACCTCTCAGGATTTCTTTGAGTTGATTGTGGCGTACTTTATCAAAGGCCTTTTTAAAATCTATAAAGCAGGCATGTACCTCTTGGTTAACATCTAGATATATCTGTGTTAGGATATTTAAGGCAAAGAAAGCTTCTCTTGCACTTAATCCTTTTCTGAATCCCATCTGTGTATCGTTAATATCGATATCTAACATTGGATAGATTCGGTTGTGGATGACTCTAAGAAATATTTTAAGTAGATGACTTAACAAGAAGATTGTTCGATGATCTGAACATTGCATTGCCTTAGTTTTCTTCGGTATGGTAACAAACGTAAACAGCAACCATTCTTGAGGTGTTATACCAGTATTGTATATTGTTTTGAATAGATGTAATATTATGGTTACGGATTTATCATTCGAAAGCTTTAACAGATCTGTAGGAATTTCATCAGGTCCATTTGCTTTTCCATTTTTAGCATTTCTTATTGCATATTCTACTGCTTCTTTTAATATATCTGGCCCAGTTACATTGATTATCTGAGTTAAGTCGTTTCTATCGTCTTACTAATAATTCATTCAGGTATTCTGTTCATCTTTTTATTTTATTCTCTAGATCTACAATAAAATTTCCATCTTTGTCTTTAAGTTTACCTATTTGGCATTTCTTTATACTTCCTGTTATCTCTTTTACCACGCATGAAACCTACGAGAAAAGTACGCATCGTACTTTTTCTCATAGGTTTCCATTTCTATACACTGTTCTTTAATCCACTCCTCTTTGGCTTCTTTTATTCGCTTTTTTTATTTGTTTATTTATTTCTTTGTATTTGTCTGGGTAATTCTTCATCTTTCTTCTTTGTTCCATCAAGTCTAGTATATCTTGTGTCATCAACCCGTTATTCTTTGTTGTTGTTTTTGTAAGATGTTTCTTTCGTGCTGTTTGTATAGCTGCTGTTTGTAGGTTAACGTTATTTGTATCGTTAATTTGTTGCTATACTGAACGGAGGTTTTCATTTATTTCTTCTCCTGTTTCTTGTCGTATATTTTTGTTTATTTAAAAATTATTTTTTAAGTTTATTTAAATCTTGTGTCTTTCTGTGTGGTATTTTAATCTTTTTTGGTCTCGCCTCTATCACAGTAACTACCGGGTTATGATCTGAGCCTACATCAGCTCCTGAATACGTCTTAATACATTTAACAGCAATAATATACCGCCTTGCTATTATAATGTTTCACAATATTTGATTGGTATATACATATGTGCATGTATATAACCGTCGAGGAGGAAATTTGAAAAAGGTATTTGTTATTACGAAGTCTTCACTTTCGCAAAATTAAATCAATCGATTTCCTCTGTCATTTCTGTTTCCAAGCCCATAGTTTCCTGTTTGTTCTCCTACCTTACCTTGACCCACCTTGGCATTAAGATCGCCTATTATTATGTTAATATGTTGCTTTTTTATTGTTTTCAGTATAATCTTCTAAATCGTTGTAGAATTGTTCTATTTCATTGTCATCTTTATCTGCTGTTGGTGCATAGACTTGAATTATTAAGTTAAGATATGAAGATTTATTAAGTTACGATATTAGAATTCCGTATCTCTTACTGTGAGACAGCGGTACTTTGATGTACAAGGCATTAATTTGTAATTACTCAATAGTAAAAGATTTAGAAACACCAACTTATTTATTTTGCATACGCACCTATTATAAATCATCTAAATATGCATATAATAATATTCATCTTAACAATTTTTTTATATTTTTCAAGATCTAAAAGTTAAAAAACATCCATTTTTTATCTATTAAGCTAAGTACCTTTACGGTATTAACATCCATTCAGACGAAAACAAATTGAATTTAATTTACTCCATCGAACTAAAATTTATCTATCGCTTTTGGCTAAGGGCATTTATTTAGTGTAAAATGAAACAAGATAAATAAAGTGTAAGTTAGAAAAGCCGATCTCCACTAGACCGTTCACTTTCAGAGTGAAGTCATAAACCTTCATGGATATAGTTGGGTCAGCCATTTATGTTACAAACGAAATTGAATTGGATTTCAATGGAAGCTTTCAGTAATATAGCAGTACACTCTGTGAAAAAAGGGTTGGTGAAAATACCTATACGTTGAATATAGCAGGAAACATGTGAAATAAAATGGACACTAATCTTGTATATTTGCGCCCAAAATTGTCTAAAATTGACGTGTCTGAAAATCGTTTTAATAGAATAAATTCGTTAATGGTTACCTGAGAGCTAAAATTCGGTTTGGCATTTTATGTGAACATTTTAAAGGGTACCTAACGTACTTACATTTACCCTTTGTTCACATAAATGTACTTTTTGGAATTACAAATATATTTAAAAGTAGAAGCAAAGTATTATATTCTTTTTTATTTAGTTTAGCATTATTATTTTCCCAATTGAATATAATAAAAGACGTGTGGTCAATATGTTCCAAGCAAGTAGATTTAAAAGTGATCGCTCGGAAAAATTGGGTATTTATACTTTATATTTAAATTGAAGTACTGCATAAAGCTATACCTACAGATGCACAGAAAGTTTGAGACGAAGGAAGCTCAGAAATATTATGCCACTCTTATAATAAAGGATAAAGTTCACAATTAATAAATTATTGTTTAAAACTAAGGTAAAAGTTTTTATTCTAATCAATTTTAATACATTAACGTTTTATATTGTAAGTAACGTTTTTGTTCAAAACAGCAATTACGGTTCGCTACAATAAAGGTGGCCATACACTTTAGCTCTTAGTAGTACAAATAGTAATAAAACAGAAAATTAATGCTTTATTTGAAAAACTAACTAACTCTAAAGTAAGATCTGCTGGAAAAACATAACGTGATAATGCAAGACAAAATCGGCACAATTACTAAAGAAATAACAAAACTAATTGAAGAAAAAAGAGTTAAAAAAAAGAATCAAGAACTTCAAACAGTACTACAAATTCCAGAAGGAACGGTGAAGGTATTAGAAAGAAAAGTAAGAATGTAGAATTTGATTATCCAACGAGTAAAAGAGATCGAAAATGAAGACGAAACGCAAATTAAATATAAGATACCAGAAAATTCAAGAAAATTGCAAGTAGAACTAAACACAGATAAAAAAATTATAGAAATAGAAAGACTTTGTTTTAAAAATATTAAAAAAAGACTAATCCTTGTCGAATTCAAAAATTGGAGTAAAATCAACAAGGTACTCAAAGTAACAAAGAAGTTAATATGTATAGACTTATCTATAAATAAAGACTATCTTAACGACATACAAATTCAAAGAAAGGAACTTTGCAAATATAAAAAAAGCAAAAAAAGGTCAAAATGTAGGTATTCTTCTTCTTCTTTCTCTTCTTTTTTCTATTTATAAGCAATTCTGCTTGTTCCTTGGCGGATTGATACCTCTATGGAAGGTTGTCACTCCATTTTTTGCGCGGTCGTCTGATTCTTCTGCCGATTGGCGACTTATCTCTTACTATTTTGATGACCTGGGTCTCCTCCATTCTGCTTATGTGGTTATTCTATGCTTATTTTCTATTTTGTGTATATTTATTTATTTACTGTAGTATATATTCTCTTTTAATTTCTTGTAATTTTTCTTAGTACTTTCATCTCTGCCATTTCCCGTAGTCTTTGCGTTTTGACTGTGTCAGGTCTTGTTTCTGAATCAGTATTAATGTGTCTGTTATTATATAGTGTTATTCATTCATCCTGTCAGTCTATTTGCTTTTTGTACTTGACCTCTCACTTCTTTGGTAAGGTCTCCATAGCTAGATAGTGGAATTTTCAGGTACTTTCTTTTTATTACTTGTTCAATACTGATGCTATAAATTTTTATTTTACATTTGGTTATTTCTTTCTTCTAGTTCCATGACTATTATCGATACCATATTCGCTATCGTGACTTTATTGACAGCAGCTCTAAATAACGATGTAGTTGATTTTTCATACCATTGCCTTAGATTTTTTAGCCATGATGTTCTTTGTCAACCAGAACTACGATTACCTTGGATCTTTCCCTGAATGATTAGATGTAAAAGATGATATTTTTCAGGGTGTCTCATAATCTCTCTCTTCAATCCTGACCCCCCAGGGGGAGTGTAGTAGTCGACGTGATGTCGTGTATTGTCCGTCTCCAGAGATCTCTGTCTCTGGTCATTTCTTTTAATTCATGCATAGGTCTTTGGCATATTCCTGTAATTTGATCTATCCATCTTGTTGGGGATCTTCCTCGTGATCTTCGGCCTTCTACCTTTCCTTGTATTATGAGTCTTTCCATGTTTTCTGTGTTTGCTCTCATAACATGCCCAAAATATTTTAATTGTTGGAGATGGACTTTACTAGAGAGTCGTTGGCCAACTTTTAGCTCTCTTTGAATTGAATTATTTGTTCTGCGGTCGGTCCAAGGAATTCGTAACATTCGTCTCCAACAGAACATTTTAGTGGCGTCTATCTTTCTTCTCTCCGATTGTCTCAGAGTCCAAGATTCACATCCGTAGGTCAGTATTGGGAATATTAAGCAGTTGATCAACCTCATCTTTATCGCTCTTGAAATTTGACAGTCCTTCCATATTTTGGTCATTTTTGCTGTGGCAACTTTTGCTAGATCAGATCTACGTTTAATCTCTTCTTGTAATGACCCTGTGTTTGTGATTAATGATCCCAGATATAAGTATGAGCTCACAACCTCGAACCGGTCAATTGAGGTTATGTGTGGATGATTGTTGTGTAGTCTATCCACTATTATGATCTTTG